CGGGTCAGACGGTACCAGGTTCTAAAGGCGGGTCAGACGGTACCAGGTTCTAATTGGTTCTGGTTCTGTCTTAGGAACAATAACAGTTGATTGGATCAGAACCAGCAGGTTCTGATCAGTGGTTCTGTTCTTACTTTGTTCTGGACTGGAACACAGCAGAGGAGGATCCACACTGAGAGCTGCAGACCTGCAGGAGAACGGATCAGAACCAGTCAGACTGTAGAGGGCGCAGCAGCTCTAGAATAGAACTAGATTTAATAGATCAGTATGGAGTGACTTTTATACCAAAACGTTGTGTACAAAAATGCATATTTCACAGACACATAAAGAATGTTTTACACAAACAAATCACTCATAAATAAACATGTTGCACTCAAATAAATCTTGTTCACCAATGAAACTTGTGTTACAAACTCTCCTCTAATGTCACACATGAATAAAACTTTTTTTCAAACTGTCCTTAAATGTTGCAAACACACAAAAGTTAGTTTTTCAAACTGGACTCTAACGTTGGACTGAAAATATAATTAGTAAATTGTCCCTGAGTCCAAATCGATCTCTGCTGCATAGCAAACAGCCTCTCCTCGCGTTCCAGATAATTCTTCAGTCTGCTGTAATTTCTGCTAAAAGTCATGTGATACATGGAGAACTGTCATTCTGACTAACCGACAGCAGGAGGCGCCATACAATTAAAACACCTGAAACGTGCCGCTGGCTGGATAGGATGAGGTTTGGCTGAGGAAGACTGGTGTGAGATTAAAGCTGCATGATGAGAGCACTGCAGGTGAGTTTGAAACGTTATGATTTAAAAAGATAAAAGACGACTATGACACATTTATGCAGACAGAAATATGACATAGTTGTTATATTTCCAATCGCCATGAACGATTTCAGTTTACTGCCACTGCTATCTTATAATTCTATATTGTTTTAGCCCAGATCAAAAGACATTAGACCTGGCCTTAGGGAGCACTAAGCACAAACTATTGCTGCATAAAGCAACTCCTTCAGGTTCTGTGTTTGGTGTGGAATGTCAAATAGTGATACAGAGGATACCAGGATTAATGCAGCGCTAACAGATCATTTGGGGTTCTTTATTCTTTCTTCTATGCATTTCTTTCCAGAGACCAGAGTATTCTCACATTGAGTCTGCAGCAACGAACCTGCTGTCACTTTTAACAGCAACAGTTCAGGATCCAGACCAGAATCAGCAACTGCAGCTTGAAATTCAGGAACCATCTCTAGTCAGGAAGTAAGAATGAGACAGACTGATGTCCAGCAGGAGATGACCAAGTTAGAAATTATGATTCTATATGTTATTATGACTACAATATATGTTTCGCTTGATATTTTTAATTAAATGCTACATTTGACCATTTGCTTTAAAGGTATTTTCCTGGTATTTTCAGACGAGAAAGGACCAGTGGAAAACAGAGATTTCCTGCACCACTTCAAAGCAGTTCATCAGTCCCCACAAACACCACAGATCTCCAGTTTGTTTTTTTTCACTTCTAAGACCGATGACCAGGACTCCAGAAGGATCTATGGAGCTCAGGATGTTAACGGCCATGGTAAACGCCTGATATCATTGCCTGACAGCAGCCGCCATGCAGAGGTTAACATGCAGAAAATCTAACATGATGCTGAAACCCAATCAGTAGCACAGCTGAGACGGATTGTTGAGATCAAAGCTGTGTGGGATCAATTAATCACTATAAGTTAACGATTTTTTAAACATAATTGTGAAACAATTCCCAATGAAAACCATCAGCTGACTCCTTGATTACAATTGGTAAATTATTAATATTATGGAAATGTACCTAAGTTCTATCAGTCTGGTTCTGAGAACTTTTAATTAGTTTAGTTGGACATTAAAGCAGGTCTGCTGAATAAGAGTAAACAGGTTAATGTTGTTTTTCACTTTGCATTAATTATTTGCAGTTCAGTATGAACCATTTGGACATAAACAAGCTGCCATTGACTGTGATGACAATCAGTTATATCAACTGTGATCATCTTTATGTAAGAAGCTATTGGTTTTACTATTTTCATCTAGACATGTGTACGTGTGTGTGTTTTAAAAAGGTTCCAGCAGCCCTTCTAGCTGAGTAACCTAAACTGGAGACCTTGGATGTTTCACAAGGCAGCAGGCTGAGCATTATTTGCTACAGAATGATGCATCTCTAAGTATAATTTTAAGACAAGTTTAATAATTAGCTCTTTCACTGTCCTACTGCAAGAGAGAACTGGCCTTCATCATCACTGAAGCTAATTTCTGTATAAAATAAACCTAACTTTCATATTTCAAACATGTTGAAGAAGGAAGTGTCCAGAGAGAACTTCCTGTGATCCCACCTGAGTCTGAAGGCTAAACTTCTACAGGCTGCATCCAGTAATGGAAGACATGATTTCCATCATTCCACTTCAAGATGACATCAACATAGAACCTCTACCTGCTGATGAAGTTCAGCTAAATGACAAAATCTAAATGCAACACTAGTGGTGAAATGTTACCATTACAAGTTCCTTTGCTTCATATAGGCTGCGTCTCAATTAGAGTCCTGCAGCAAAACTATAGAAAACAGTGAAGAAGAAAGTTTTTTATCCACAATATTCCAGCAAACCAAGAGAGAGCTAACGGAACTATTATCTTACAAATACTGAATTATTTCTTTTTTTTTTAAACAGGAATCTGATTAGGGGTGTAAATCACACCCATCAGGGCGATTCCATTCAGTATCCATTTCCTGACCCAACCATTCCATTATTTTCCATACTCAAGAATACACCATGATACGATATGATTAGATTAATTGGTTCATTTTTTTATTTTTATTTTTTACACCTTACAGTCTAGATATTGTTTCAACTTTGAAATAAATCAATGAAAGTTGTAATATCGTTAGGGATTTTATTTGAGAATCAACAGCAAATAACAGAAGGAGAGAAGTTTTACTCCACCTATTCCTATTAAAACCTCATTCACTGATAAATAATAACTCCTGCGTTATAGATTCTAAATCAGTGCAATGAGCCCTTTTTCCACCTGGATCTCCGCTCTTTTTGGCCCTCATGTCCCTCCGTCGTCGGACTAAACTCGCCCCCACTTCCTCACCGCCTCAGCCGTATCTAGACCCACAGCGTGTAGCACAGACCACGCTTCAATATGGAGCATAATTTAAAAAAATCTGCATCAAGCTCAC